GCACCCGCCAAGCCCAGTAGCTCCGTGAGAGGGCCTTTCCAGGCGCTGGGGCCCTGGCCTGTGCTGGGCTGGACGGGTGGACGGCACTCCCAGGGCCACCTGGGTCTGCTTCCATCTGTGCGCGGGGTGACATGACCTGCCCACGGGCCCTCACCAAGGCTCGTGACGAAGCCGTGTCTGACCAGCTCCCAGTGTGGCCGCCCTCTGTGGGCCTCGGCCTCATCTCTAACACGTGGACACAGCTGCGAGGTCAGTCGTACCCAGTGGCGGTTCTTGGGGGAGCCAGGGCTGTGATGAGGTGAGGGGGTCGGTGGAGGCTGCCTACCCTGCGGCCTGGGAGGCCTGCTCCAGGTCCTGGGGCAGCTGCAGCAGGTCCGGGTGGCTCTGTTCCACTTCCTGCAACAGGACTGTCCCGTGAGCTCCCTTCAGTTGCACCTCAGGTACCTCACCCCCTGACCACCCAGCCCTGGGGTGTCCTGGGCAGGAAGACGCTGGTCTGGGGTAGGCGCACGTGTACAGGAGGGCAGGTGGCCGGGGGCCTGGGGAGGCGGGCTCAGGCGGGTGCTGGGCCTGCTGCGGGCCTGGCGCCGCCCACCTCCAGCACGTGGTGCAGCAGCGTCACGCGGGTCTGCTGGGACTTGGTCTCGGTGAGCTTCAGCAAGGTGCTGATCTTGAAGCCGTCGGCGTCCCCCGTGTGGCTGCCCTGGGAGGGACAGGTGTGGGTTCCTGAGCCCGGGGCGCCGGGAGCAGCGGGGCACGTGTGGGGCTCACTTACATAGTTGAGGAAGTTCCCGATCTTCAGGATCAGCTGGCAGAAAGTGGGTAGCTGGCGGCTGGCGAGCAGGCCTGCGGGCAGTGCCCAGAACCGAGGGGTCACCACCTCAGCCCCGAGGTGCCCTATGTGGGTTCCCGCTTTCCTTCCTGCCCTGTCCCTCCAGGCCCTCCCCGGGGCAGGCCTGTGCGTGTTGGGGCGTGTGGAGGCCGTGAGGGGACCGTGAGCCAGAGTGGGCAGCAGGGATGGTGACATACGCCAAGGCGGTGGAGCTCGCCTAGGACTCCCTCAGGGCTCCTGCGGGGAGGACCCCACCCTCCCGTGCCGGCCCCGGGCTCCGCCGGCCCCACTCACTCTCGCAGGCGCCGAGCACCAGCTGGGCCTGGGGCCGTGCCATGTCCAGCAGGGCGGCCGAGCTCTCACACAGCAGCATGCACTCGACGCGCAGCTGGTAGCTGGGATGCAGGCGGGGCGAGTCAGGGCCTGGCCGGCTGGCAGCCCACCGCCCGCTCTGAAGGGAAGCGGGCCAGCCACTGCTTGGCACAGCCCTCTAGGTCTGCCCAGCACGCCCTCCCAGGGCGGGGCTGCTCACTCACCAGGGAATGTCCAGCAGGAGGACGTAGAACTGGTCAGCGCTGGCCAGCTTGCTGCGCTCCTCCGTGAACGTCCGGAGGTTTGCCACCTGGTGGAGGGGCCCTCAGGTGGCACCTTCCCTCAGGAAGCCCTCCGGGCTGCTCACTCCACTCAAGCAGGGTAGTGGGCCCTTCCCTCCCCTGTGCCTAGCCAGGGTCCCTCAGGGCAGCGCCTGACCTGGCCACCTGAGCTGGCCACGCCAACCCGAGGAGACCCAGCTCACCTCGTGCTTCTCCGGCAGGAGCTTGAGGAGCTGTTTGAGGACCTCCACGTCAAACCTGGTGGTGTCCCCTGCCCGGATCATGGCAGTGACCTCCTCATTGGAGCTGGAGAAAGAGGCCGAGGGTCAGAGAGGCGTGAGGCCCACCTGGCCTTCTGGGAGCCTCCCAGGCAGTGCCCTCACCACCCATGAGGTTGCCGGGGCTGGGCTGGTGGGCAGAGAAGGCAGCCACTGCCCGGGTCACACCAGACCACGCAGTCCCCTCTGCTAGGCGAGGACGAGAGTGCGCGACGGTGCCCTCGTCAGGGAGGCCAGGAAGCTGGCAGGGGCCCAGGCCTGTCCTGGTTGGCCACTGTGTGTAGCCTCTGAGGGACGTCCCAGTGTGCCCTGGCCTGTTTCTCCCGGGAGCCTGGACTGGGCGGTTCCAGGGCCCCGGCTGGGTCTGTCTGTGCTGTTACTAGAGCTCCTATCTGGGGAGGGACTGTGCACTTCCCAAGACGGCCTGCAGAGGGCCCTGCTGAGCCCAGGCCAGCAAGGGAGTGCCAGGTGCAGGAGAGACTCCTCACTCACCATCTGAACTGCTTCAGGAAGATGTTCAGGTTCAGGCTCTTCTTTGAGTCAAGGAACGTGATCTGGAAAACATGGCCCATGGGCTAGTACCTGGGGGGAGGGCCTCCCCTCGGCTGCCCTTCCCAGCCCCACCCACCTCCTTGGGCTCCCTCCTGGCTGGGGCAGCCACCACCACCGGCTCCTTGGGCTTGGCCACAGGGAAGCAGAAGAGCCGCTCGATGCTGGAGAAGTCGGGCTCCACCACCTCAGAGCCCGGGCTGCTCAGAGACGCCCACATGGAGTTGCGATCTGCAGCGAGGGGCAGGTGGGCGCCGAGCCAGGCTCACGGAGCTGGGCCGCTGCCAGAGGAGCCCACAGCCCCGCCCTGCCGCGTGCGCTTGCCAGACAGACAGAGACTGTGGTCCACCTGGGCGACGATGACCTCCTCAACAACACCCCCCGCTGGGAGGTTGGAGCCGCTAGGCAGCGGGGGAGGAGGAGGGGGACCCCAGCCCACTCCAGGCAGTGGAGGCGGAGGCGGGGGAGGGCACCCCATGCCCGGGAGCGGTGGAGGTGGTGGAGGATGGCCCCCATAGGAGCCAGGTAGGGGTGGTGGAGGTGGCACTGAGGGAGACAAGGCCCCCAAGCCTGGCAGGGGTGGG